GCACTGAAGCAAACGGGGCATCTAAAGCCAGCCTTTTCCCAAATTACTCTTTAGTATTTCTTATCTCACTAATCAATTACCGTAGCCTCCTTTATTTGGTTTTTGGTCGCCAACAGTGTAAATTGTCTTTATGTCTTCAGAAGCCTTCTTTTTCCTCATTGGAATATAAGCTTAAAGAAATGTAAGAAAACACTTATTTTTAATAATGGTGATGACAGAATTACCCAACATAGAACCCCTTTTCCTGGCCCGAGGAATTAAATTCTATGCTAATTGCCAGTGGGCCAGTGGGGAGGCAATGAGGAGCTGGGGAGATGTGAAAGGAAGACAGACAACAGCTCTTGAAAAAGTATCCCTTCTGATCAAACGAGGGACAGAGCCCATGGACCCAGACAATAGGGTGGTGAAGACCTGGGGGGTGGGTACGGGGCTGGTGGAGGCAGGCAAATGGGAAACATCTATAATAATTTCAACAATAATATGTGTGTGTGTGTGTGTGTGTCTCTGTGTGTCTCTGTGTGTCTCTGTGTGTCTCTGTGTGTCTCTGTGTGTCTCTGTGTGTCTCTGTGTGTCTCTGTGTGTCTCTGTGTGTCTCTGTGTGTCTCTGTGTGTCTCTGTGTGTCTCTGTGTGTCTCTGTGTGTCTCTGTGTGTCTCTGTGTGTCTCTGTGTGTCTCTGTGTGTCTCTGTGTGTCTCTGTGTGTCTCTGTGTGTGTGTCTGTGTGTGTGTATACATATATATATACACATGTATACACACACACACACACATATATATAATAAAAAAGACGTGATATATATAAAATATGGACTATTATTTAGCCATAAAAAAGAATGAAATCTTGCTACTTGCAACCACATGGATGGACCTTGAGGGCATTACTCTATGTAAGACAAGACAGAGAAAGGCAAATATCAGATCATCTCTCTTCTGTGTGCGATCTAAAAGTAAGTGAATAAGCCAAGTTCATAGATACAGAGAACAGGTTGGTGGTTGCCAGAGGCAGGAGTGGGGGGAGGGAGATCTGCATGAATTATTTTTTTTTTTAGTTTAAATAAAAAATAAATAAATGAGAGCCAGTGTTTTCTCCTGGCCGAGAGGAGAGGCTACCCCAGCTCGAGTGGACAGTGTAGTTTCCTCTCTGAGACAGGCCCACAGCCCAGCATAGGCAGCCACATCCATACTGACCCCTGGTTTGTGACAGAGAAGATTCTACTAGCTCCCGGTCCTCACCATGCAAGGGGGGGGGGTCCTCACGGTGCGCTCAGGGGGTTTGTTAGAGAGATGACAGCAGAGCCATCCGTCCCCACCGGAGCAAATTCCCTCAATAGGCCCTTCCTGCCCTCTCTCTGTGCCCCTGGAGCCGTGTGCTTGGTGGGGGACGACATCACTACCGAGCTGTGCTTTCATGGCATCTGAGAAACATGTTGCCTCCATAGCATACGTTCACCTCTAACCTACTTCTTCACAAAAGGGGGATTTGAGGTAACAAGGGTTTAAAATGCCCACTTGAAACTCCTTTTCCTACTAAGTGAGAAAGTTCCCAGTTGATGAGAAAGGAATATGTATAGTTACTGAAGTGATTTCTGAAGTGGGTCATTGCTGTCATTATCCCAATGAGCTGAAGCGATCGAATTAGCTCATTCAGCAAACATACATGTAGTCTATACGTACATACATGCATAGAGTGCTAGGTGCCCGAGAAACACCGAGGTTGCAATGTGAGAGCTGGTGAAGGTGGCTGGGAGTCTGTAACACGTGGGTTAAGAATGGCACAAAGCAGCCCTGGCTCGTGTGGCTTGGTGGGTTGGACCATCGTTCTGTGCACCAAAAGATGCTGGGTTGGGTTCCCGGTCAGGACACATGCCCAGGTTGTGGGTTCGATTCCCAGTCGGGCATTGTATGGGAAGCACCCGATTGATCTTTCTTACATCGATGTTTCTCTTTCCCTTACTCCCTCCCTCTCTCTCCCTCCCTCCTCCCTCCTTCTCTCCCTTTCTTCCTCTTTCTAGGATGAATTAAAAAATAAAATAACAATGCGGCTTGAATGCATCAAAAAGGAAAAAGAATGACCCCGGGTACTACAGGGACTCCAAGGAGAGGGACGCTCCAACTGGGTCTATTCAGGACGGCTTTCTGGAGCTGACTTCACGGCCGGGGTTGGAGAGCTGGTCAGTGAGCGTGCAGACCAGGCTGAGGAGACTGGGAAGGAAAGGCCTGGAAATACGGAAGGTGATGTGTGTTTTAGGAGCGGCCGTTCATCTCATTTGATTGGACAATGAACTGACTTGAGTGCTTACTGTGGGCCAGAACTTTTAAACACGAGTATGCGCTTTGTCTCCACATGATGGCACTGAGGCTCAGAGGAGTTAAGTGACCTTCCCAGCTATTTGCCTGGTAGGGACGCTGTACAGCGGGGCGTGGACTCTCGCATCTGGCTCAAGAGCCTGGACATGTTAGCGACTAGATCGCAGCTGCCTTCAAGGAGACACAGGAAATGGCAGTGAGGCTCAGAGGAGTTAAGTGACCTTCCAGCTATTTGCATGGTAGGGACGCGGTATAGCGAGGCGTGGACTCTCGCATCTGGCTCAAGAGCCTGGACATGTTAGCGACTAGATCGCAGCTGCCTTCAAGGAGACACAGGAAATACAGTGAAACATCAGACTTGGTGAGGACTCTAGACGGCGATCAATGAGATGACCAGCAGCCTACGAAGGCAGAGCTCCAGTTGAGAGGTCCTGGGCTCCTTAAGTTGTGGGGCCAGGAACAGAAACAATCAGGAGAGTTGAAAGCATTGTTAGGTCGTCGTTTAAAATGGGTTTGAAGTGGGTTACATGGAGAGCCGGTGGAGACCAGTTAGGGGCTTACGGGGGTGACACAGGTAGGCTCTCACCTGGACACAGGACCAGGGGGCAGAGGCTGGCTGGCTGGGATGCTGTGCTGATGGCTGCATGGGGGGTGACCGTGTGTTCCCGATACTACAGAGTCACAGATCATTAAAATGAGTCTACATCTTTGTGTTCTGGCCATGAAATATTCATGTTATGAATTAAATTGATGTGATAAAGTCCCCAATAGTTTTATAACGTTATCTATGAAAGGAATCCAGTAGAGATCGGGCCTGGCCAAGTCGTGGCCTGATGTTCCTTCCTTAAACTTTCTCCATGTCCTTTTTCCCTCCCATTCCCTCGCTCCCCTTCCCTCTCTAAGTCCTCAGCCCCACTCCTTCCCTTGCTCTGTCTCAGGTACTGACTGCTGTTCTTTCTGGCGACATCACAGAAAACTCGGTCGGCATATCCTGGCCGTTATCTTTCACGCAACTTTTTTAGGTGTCAGCAGCGGTTCTCAACCTGTGGGTCGCGACCCCTTTGGGGGTCGAACAACCCTTTCACAGGGGTCGCCTAAGGCCATCCTGCATATCAGATATTTACATTATGATTCATAACAGTAGCAACATTACAGTTATGAAGTAGCAACGAAAATAATTTTATGGTTGGGGGTCACCACAACATGAGGAACTGTATTAAAGGGTCGTGGCATTAGGAAGGTTGAGAACCACTGTGAAATACGGAAGGTGATGTGTGTTTTAGGAGCGGCCTTTCATCTCACTTGATTGGACAGTGAACTGACTTGAGTGCTTACTGTGGGCCAGAACTTTTAAACACGAGTATGCGCTTTGTCTCCACATGATGGCACTGAGGCTCAGAGGAGTTAAGTGACCTTCCCAGCTATTTGCCTGGTAGGGACGCTGTACAGCGGGGCGTGGACTCTCGCATCTGGCTCAAGAGCCTGGACATGTTAGCGACTAGATCGCAGCTGCCTTCAAGGAGACACAGGAAATACAGTGAAACATCAGACTTGGTGAGGACTCTAGACGGCGATCAATGAGATGACCGGCTGCCTACGAAGGCAGAGCTCCAGTTGAGAGGTCCTGGGCTCCTTAAGTTGTGGGGCCAGGAACAGAAACAATCAGGAGAGTTGAAAGCATCGTTAGGTCGTCGTTTAAAATGGGTTTGAAGTGGGTTACATGGAGAGCCGGTGGAGACCAGTTAGGGGCTTACGGGGGTGACACAGGTAGGCTCTCACCTGGACACAGGACCAGGGGGCAGAGGCTGGCTGGCTGGGATGCTGTGCTGATGGCTGCATGGGGGGTGACCGTGTGTTCCCGATACTACAGAGTCACAGATCATTAAAATGAGTCTACATCTTTGTGTTCTGGCCATGAAATATTCATGTTATGAATTAAATTGATGTGATAAAGTCCCCAATAGTTTTATAACGTTATCTATGAAAGGAATCCAGTCGTGGCCTGATGTTCCTGCCTTAAACTTTCTCCATGTCCTTTTCCCTCCCATTTACTCGCTCCCCTTCCCTCTCTAAGTCCGCAGCCCTCCTCCTTCCCTTGCTCTGTCTCCGGTACTGACTGCTGTTCTTTCTGGCTGGCAACATCGCAGAAAACTCGGTTGGCATATCCTGGCCTTTATCTTTCACGCAACTTTTTTAGGTGTCAGCAGCGGTTCTCAACCTGTGGGTCGCGATCCCTTTGGGGGTCGAACAACCCTTTCACAGGGGTCACCTAAGACCATCCTGCATATCAGATATTTACATTACGATTCATAACAGTAACAACATTATAGTTATGAAGTAGCAATGGAAATAATTTTATGGTTGGGGGTCACCACAACATGAGGAACTGTATTAAAGGGTCGTGGCATTAGGAAGGTTGAGAACCACTGTAGCAGCAAAGAAGACAGGACTTTACGTCTAGAGAAATTGGTTAGAATTGCAGCATAGGCAGCCTTGTCTACTGAACCACGTTGTAAGGTTATTTTGATGTGTTTTTACATACATGTCTACTCTTCACCTTGAACGGAATAGGGGAACGTCTAGAGCTGCGCCTGGTACAGAACAAGGAGAGCAAGCCCCGTTTTACAGAAGCATTTCCATCTACACACACAGCAACATGCTCTCCACAGAAGCACCTCTGCCGCGAGCGCTTACATTCAGAGCACGCGCCCTCCTGTCCTCTGTAATCTGGTGTGTTCTTCCCTGTGTCTTCTCTTCTGAGGCCATTTTGTTGCATTTTTTGTAAGTGATAAGCCATTTTCTTCTCTAAAAGAACTTGTTTCTGAAACGTTAAAGAAAATGCATCGGTTAGCATCACCTGGCCATTGAGAAGTGCAGAACACACACTAATGGTTCGAGGGCACCTGGGACACGAGCTTCATCCTGGCGGGTGGCCGGTCAGGTTGTTGGGGTGCTGCCAGGAGGGGAGCCAGGTGCGCTTCCACTTGTGCTCAGACGCGATGGGCACACACAGTTCACTCCCCGCAGGTGTTCGGGGACCTGGTCCCGAGTCCGGTCGGAAGGGGCTCTGCCTGCCTAGTGTCCTGGGAAGCTGAGGGCGTTTTAATCACCTTCCATCGGGGGGTTTCCAAGGGACTCACCCACCGTCACTCAGGCCGACCCGAGGGAAACATGATAGAACCGTGACATGCGACTTCCTTTTGTGAACCTCCAGGCTAAGAGTGGCCCTGGAGGTGCCAGAAAGGGGGTAGCTGCCCAGAGCGAGCCCCGCCCTCCTCAGGTGGTTCCCTAGCAGAGCACGGAGCAGCACCTGCATGTGGCCAGCGGCCCCGGACCACAGCCAGGACCGTCCGTAGGGTCCGGAGCACCGCACTCCGGGCCGCCTGTCCCGCCTGCCCCGCAGCCACTCTGGGGACTTGCACTCCCGGTGCGTTGGGTGGGGAAGCAGGACGAGGGGTAACTAGTCCCGGGTTAGACACGGTCTGGCTCCATCTAACACATTTTATAAAGCAAGACCACACTGATCAAAGGGTTTCTAAATAAATCATCTCCATCCAAGAAAAACAACAACAATTAATAGTATTTATAAGAAAAAGATTCAGCACCCCAAAAGTCAAGTTCATGGTATCGAGCATCCGCTCAAAGGCAGCTAAGCATACAAAGCAGAAGGGAAAAATGAGCCATAAGACAAGGAAATAAGTCAATCCCAGACGCTCACAGAAATACTGTGCGCGAGGCGTGCCTCTGGGAGGGCGTGTGCCACTAGTTCATGGCGTGGTGCTGGGATTGCCAATCCTTTCGCTCTCTCTTTTTTAAAACAGATTGAGACTCAAAATCTTAAAATATTACATCTGATTTAAAATTAAAAGCATTTACTCTGAAATTAACTCATGGGTGAAAATGGAGAACTTTCCCCAAGAAATTTTGATTCTAAGAAAAAATCAGTCCCATCACTTGTTTCCTGTAGGAATTTCAAGTGTGGTTCATGGTGTGGGACCGTCAAACCCTGGGGTGGTGCTTTCTGTACTGTAGTCAGAACCCAGTGTGGCCCAAGGTGGGAACCGTGTTCATCGCTCGGAGCTGCCGCCAACCCCATTCTGGGCGACACACTGCGGCGCACATGTCCCTCAGAGCTTACACTATCCCCCACCTGTACCCCTCAGAGGGGAACTCACACTATCCCTGGCCTGTACCCCGCAGAGGGGAGCCTACACTATCCCTGGCCTGTACCCCGATGTGGCAGAGGGGAGGCCACGTCTACCTTCCTGTCGCTCTCCTCCCGGTTCCGCCGCCGCTGCTCCTCTATTCGCGCTTCTCGCTTCACGTCTTCTACGATTCTCGTGAGCAGCAGCATCTCCTTTGTCTTCCATTCCTGGAGGCGCAGAGTTGCTGTTAGTGTGCATCCCAAGCCTTTGTCTCTTGTCCGCCACCACCCGGCAAATGCGACCAAGTCAGGGCCCCGAAAACAGGCTCCAGGCAGTGAGCGTGGGCACTGGCCCCAAAGGGGGCTCCTTCCTCCGGCC